CCCCCCCCTCCAGCCCCTTCTGACAACTTGGCCTCCCTACCGCTCTGTGTGTGTACGTCCGTCCGATTGTTGCTTTTCCCTAATGTACTACACGGAAATGCACTGCTAAGACGTCTTTCCTATCCTGTGATCCCTGGCGAATACCGAGTATGCCTGGAAACAATACGAACAAGTACAGTTGAAAAACGAGCATCATGTCGAGAGACTGTGTGCAAATGAGGCATCGAGATATCAAGCTTCATGTAGATAACCTGTCCGCAAAGGAGGCATGAATATAGCTCGAAAATGTGGCACCCAACACATTCAAGTTGTTGAAGGCTTCAACGACGTGCTGCCAATCAAACAAAAAATATATACTCTTGAGATGACAGTCGCTTGACCCTTCACATTCAGCAATAGGCCTGCAATGCCAAATCAACTGGGGTCAGTTACCTGTCTGTATGTAGTCCATATCTTGAAAATTACACATAGGAAAGGGCCAATCTCAGACACACCACAAAAGCCCAAAACAATGGGAACACGCAACTCATCAGAGCGCTGATCCATTCAAGTGCGCACTATGGATGGAGGACAGAATCCCAACCATGTAGATGAGGGCACTCTCACAATTTGATACTTGTGATCGAGTATATGGCCATGATTTCAGGCACATGCATCGAAGACCCTCCTCGTGTGACGATGCCCTGGAACTTTTCATCAGCAGTTCACCACGCCAGACTCTTGGCAGCATCAAGATCACTCTACACCTGAACATTTGGAGGTGGTCTGGAAAAAAAACAATCTTCTCCCTTTTTTTAAATGTTGTGACAACTGCCGACTTGTCAAGCGCAATATGACGAACCTTATCATTTGTTGTGCATTTTCGCTGCGACCAGATTTACCAACCGTGCTCATCAGCAGAGACAGCTTGTCAGAGAACATGCAAGCATTGATCAAGACCGCACGTTGCTCTCGGCTAACAAACACACGGAATCATTTAGCTTCCACCAACACTTACAGATACTCCCATCCCCTTCCTCCTCCTGACCTCCTCTACGGCCTTCCCGATCCTCCTCTACTGCTGCTTTTTGCAGTGCTCTCCTCCCTCTTCCCTTGTCTTTTCCTCCTCCTTGGCTTGATATTACCAATAATCAGATTGAGGCCGGGGTCCTCACAATCTACCCGGAGTGATCAAACCAAAAACTGCTGAGAACATCCTGGATCTTACCATCACTTACTTTCATCCATCATCCAGCATCGCCAACACCATCATTATCATCACCAATCATCAGTATCATCAGCGTCACCAACATCATCAACATCATCAACATCATCAACATCATCAACATCATCAACATCCTTGGATATTCAGAGATAGGAAGAAGGGTGATGTTTGCACCTACTTCATGATTATCATCATCATCATCATCATCATCATCATCATCATCGCATCATTCGATTCATTAGTATCAGCATCTGATTAATGATATATTAAGCTTTTTGGTGTTCTGAAATTTTGACAGCATCTAGCATTCTTCCACATTCGGAATATAGGACTTCAAAGATGATTGAACCTGGACTAATATCTACTGAGTTGCTCTGTTCTGTGCCCTTGGTTTGCCGATGCCAGAACGACGCTGGCCGGAGCTGGGGCGTTGCCCTGTAAACTGCAAATGGCAGGAGTGTGAGGTCTTGTAGAGAGATCTGGGGTTTGCTGAGGGTGGAAGGCATTCCAGTGGTGAACCGGGGGGGGCTGCAAGGTGGCGAGAAGAGATCAGCTAAGGTTGATGTTGGGTAGGTTGTTTTTTTGGCTCTGAGGTACAGTGTTCTGGTGCAGGGAGGGCTAGGAGTTGTTCTAGGATTAGGAGGCCAGAATAGCTGATATAGCATAATCTTTTATATTTTTTCATATATTTGAATCTAGCATCATTATCTGTGGTATCATCAGTATCATCAGGGTCATCATCATAACTATTTGAGGGACGCTGAGCCCAGTTCTCAGCAGTTTTCGGTTTGATCACTCCGGGTAGATTGTGAGGACCCCGGCCTCAATCTGATTATTGGTAATATCAAGCCTTGGGCACTTAAAAAAAAAAGAAAAAAGAAAAAAAAGAATGTTTCTGGTGGTTATTGTGGAGTTTGCAAGGAAGATGAGCATTAGCGAACTTCAGCAATCAAACAGCATCATACATATGAGCCCAGATAGTCTTGACCTCGAACCACAGCAGACTGGCATCACGAGATACACCAAATAAGAACACACCAAGAGTTCAAAATTGACAATGCTGAAGTAGTCCCATCATCATCAACTACGAACCAGAGTTGATATCCTATTGGCGCTCGCCGCCCAGACTACAGGTGGCAGATCCTATCTAACCTATACTACGAAGCAGAATGATGACATCAACAGCGTTCCCGAAGTACAAGCATATGGCGACCAATGYCGCACGCTTCAGCACCAGGTATGTCTCTCGTAACACTCACAACCCCGATCCACACCGCACAGATGCCACTAGCACCCCAAGGACCACCCTGCGCTTCACCTAGCATACAGCAGCGCAGCTTGGCTATGGCTGCGTGCTCCCTCCTACTCGCCCGTGAGAGCGTGAGTGCTAGCCAGCCAGTGGATTGCGCAGCAGCGCTCACGCAGCATGCAGCCAGCACCCGAATGCCGAATGAGGAGGCAGGCCCTTCCCTATAT